TGTTTGTTGGGCTCTTCACGCGCCTATTTTGGGTGAAACTCACTCTATGTGCTAATTCAACAAAAAGTATCTAATTGGAAAAGTTTAGTGTAGTATAAGTGCTCCATAGAAACAGCCTTAAGTTTAGGTGTCTAAATGAAAAATGGTGCCAACTTTGAGTGTCTCCATATGTATCCGCCTAGAAATAATATATGAAATTTGTAGATAAATTGTAGATAAGTGTATACTGTATATTTAATTGTACGAATTTTATTTTTAGTATGTTTGAAAGTTGTTGATAAGTTATAAATAAGTTGTATATTATATTGTATAAAATTTATTTTTAGTTTATATGATATTGTAGATGTATCAAATTTGTATTAAAGTTTTACGGAATTTATTTTTTAATTTGTATATTGTTGTACCATACAAATTTACCATCTCTCCCTGTTCCAATTTGTTGTGCTCTAAACATATGTCATGTTCAACTGTAATACATAAATTTCTTTGAATCATTTCTTCATTATAAAGGTTCATAATACATAAATTTCAATGTTGAGTGAAGATGAAATTACAGAAACAAGTATACGCTTCAGTTCTTTTGTTTGCTTCATGGAAGCTTTTTTATTCTGTTTGCTCTTACAAATAAATTTCTTGACCCATCTTTGATTCACAATTTAATTTACTCAAAAACATGCATCAGTTTTTAAGGTTTACATCGTATTTTGAAGATTTAATTGGGAAAAAAAAAAGATAGACAAAAGTTCGTCAAGCTGACTACAACATAGGACCTTGAAGGAAAGAGAAGAGGAGGGAAAAAAAAAAAGGAAAAGGGATCTTTTTAAGGTGGAACGTATATATTTTGTAAACAAAACTTGTGTAGGTCGGTAAATAACAAAACATGAACAATTTTGGTAATAAAGCTTCAAATAGTGTATAGATATGTAAAAATCCCAAAAGGAAATGTGACGTATTGGAATAGAACGTGAAAATAGCACGGGCTAGCCAGTTTTCGGACTAATAATTGAAAAATAGTCAGCTTTTGCAAAGTCATTGAAAAATAGATATTATTTTGCTACAATACGGAAAGTTTTAGCATAATATACTGAAGATTGGTGCACATGTGTATGAACTTCCAGCATTTTATGCTGGAACTTCAACATACAGAAAGTTACAGCATAATATACTGGAATTGGAGCACTTGTGTATGAACTTCCAGTATATTATGCTGGAAGTCTAGTATATTATGCTGAAAGTCTAGTATATTATACTAGAACTCCAGTATATTATGCTGAAATATTTTCGAATTTTGAACAGTGTTTTCATTCAGATTTATCTTTACATGAAAAGTGACTAAATTTTGATTACTTTTGAAATTGTGACTATTTTTCAATTACCACTTATAAATTTGATTGTTTTTGAATTTCGCCCGAGTAGAACAGTCCTTTTGTTCTTTTCAAAAGCAACTAGTGGAAAGCTCATTTGACTTAAATTAGTCAAATAATCAATATTAGCTATAAAAGCATATTATATTAAGATCCACGAGAAACTCCTCTAATTGTGTGACATAAATAAACTAATTAAACACATACATACACATGAAACGCGAAAGACAAAGATATGAAAGTAGGACCAACAAGGATTGTGGTGGCTGGTGGGACGGATAGAGTTTTTTCATTCTTAATTAGAAGTATTGGATTCGAAATCTGGTCATGAAAAAAAATTCTATTAGCAAGTACTTTCTCCTTTAATGAGCCTTACGCTGTACAAATTCGGATTAATCGGAGCTCCAAGAACCAATGTTGAACACCGGTGAGAAACCAAAAAAAAGATATTAAATTGTGATGGACGAAATAGGACGAAAATTCATGTCACGAGCAGCAGTACTTAATTTGAAGGGACAATCAGACCTCTCTATAATAGCATCCTTATATAACAGTCATTCACTACAAAAGCCAAATTTTTTCGGAAATGATCTTTTATGTTATGCTATAATATATGTCCTCTACACTTCAATATAGAGGTCAAAAAATATCGGAATAAATGCGACTGTTATAGAGAGGTTTGACTGTATAAGCATTCATCCTTTTTAAAACCATGCACGGAATTTTGCAAACATGCACTTTCAGTCTAAGATAGATGAGTTCTTTCGACTCTCTAAATTTTGATAATAGAAATTGTTTACCCTAGAATCCGGATAACAATTGAATTTATATGGGGTTTTAAGGATCCGTGAACTAAAAGATACAAAAGGTTTAGGTTGAGGAAAATAAAAGATAAAGACTCAACAATTGCTGTTAAAATAAATAATCGCAGAATATAATATTGCTTAGAACAATTGTGCTTGATAGAGTACAAGAATTGAGAGAGAGGGTATTGTAGTGTAATGGTTTCCGATCCCCTCTTTATGGGGTCTTCTCCCCTTTTATACATTCTGATTAAGGGTAAAAATAAGGTAGGTAAATTAATTACATCGTGGATCCCTGTAATTACGCCTTAATGGCCTGAAGTGGTTGAGAAAATCACGTTTGGGCGAGATATCCGGCGACGCTTGGTTATCCGTTACGAGTCCGGCTTCCGACCTTGTGTGTTTCTCCATCCGGTGGTGACTCATATCGAGCTCTGCAACGGTCTCGAAATGACTCGACCTCGGTTGTAGACGTGGCCGTCGTTCTACCTTGCATCCAGGTCGGGTTCGATGGCCCCGACTTGCCCCGGACCGGACCCAACCCGGTCGGGCTCAAGCAAAAAAGGGTATCACCCAATACAGAAATAATCAAGACTCGGTAGACAATAAATATCTAGTAATTTAAATTAAATAAAGTTTCCGCAAGCAAACTTTAAACACCAATAATAGAATTAATCAGACGATAAATATGTTGGGATATACTATTAACCATGCGGTTTAGACATAGTATTATATTTTGTTCTTTATGAAACAATTGTTTATTTAATTTATTTAATTCAATAAAGCACTATTTTAAATAGATCATTTGTAACATGTGTGTCCTTTTGATTATGTAGTAGACAATTTAGTGTATGGAGTCTTAGCTCATACAGAAGATTAAATTGTTGGTTCTCATAATTAATAAACTATGTTCACAATCGAAGATATTACCGGACAAAATATCTTGATGATTGTAGCACAAGATTATTGTATAATTTGTCTTGATTATGGGAGTAAGTCTACTCCAACTTCTTGTGCTAGTATACTCAGTGTATATTGAACGGACCAAGTAGAGAAAAGGTGTTTTTGTACTGAATACATATAAAATACTTTCTCTAATTCATTAAATGAGCTTATACTCCTAATCTTGATATAATTATTATGATCAATGTAATTTGTTTATTGTTTTGATTTATCAAAAGGTACGACTCTATTTAGAGTTAGTATATGCCTAATAAATTGGACAATAACAAATAACATTTGTGAATAATAATTAGTTGATAGAATCCATGACTTGGTTTTTGGGTTTGATAATACCCTTTATATAAGCTTATAAGTTTTCATGTGAAAACCCGGCCGGTGGATTTTGTATCCGTCACATGAGATAGTTTAAGCGGAATTATAAAGGATTTAATTAGTTAATTGAATTAACTTTCAGTGATTTAATTTAATTAACTGGTATTTGAAATCTTAACATGAGGAGTTAAAATAAGTGTTAATGAATATTCGAAATTCATATTGAGGAGTTCAATTGCAGTTTTTTAGTGGAATAAATTGTAATTAATTATAGTAAGAATTAATTCATGCTACTGTAGAATTAATACTATAATTAGTAGCCTCTTATTATTTCTGTGGTCCCTGCTATACCTAGTAATAACCTTGACAAACTTGGGTAAAAAGTAGCTTGGGAGAAAAGTTACCTTTTTGAGTTGGAGTAGGATTCTAATTATAGAATTTCTAATTATAGAATCATGATCCACACTATTTTAAGCCTATTTAGGGCTTAATTTTCGGGTATTTTTCAATACAAGAGGAAGACAGGTTTCTCCTATTAACTAACCCTAGAGTTGTATTGTTCTTGCCCACCCAAAAGCAAAAGTGTTCAAGGTTTTACTAGGAATATAGCAGAACACTACAGCCCTGGATTCTTGCTGCTTGGAAAATTTGTGCAACTATTTCAAGAGGTTAGTGTTCCTGATCTCGTTATTATTGCGTTGTCTAGTTTACATGTAATTGATGCCTGATTGTATGCTTGCTTCCGCTGCGCATGTTCTAACAATTGGTATCAGACGTCGTCTTACATAACTAGATAATGTAATACAGCATGCATAGAGTAATATTAAAATGTGTTATTCATTGATACATGTTTCAGATAATTATTCTATGTTAAAAACGTGAATGATTTGTATAATATTTTGTAATCTTGGATTAAAATACAGAACTTTTGGATTAATCCTGTCAAAACACGTTTTTTATGAAATCTCGTATTGTATGGCCGCGGTCTGGGCGTAACCGCGGTAGGACCGCTGCAGAACACTACCTCTGATTCTGAAGGTCGCTCTAGCCGTGGTCCTGGCGTAACCGCTGTAGGACCGCGGCAGTACATGCAACCTTCAGACCCTAAATTGCAGAATACGCGATTTTAGGCCCTAAACCCTAAATTAAACGGGTTCTACAGTAATATAATGAATTTATATGTTGACATAGGTCTTCTTCCACATCGGATAAATTCATTATAGATAATTACTGTATTTTTCTTTAGCCTCTAGTTATTTCATTACTTGTATCAACTCTCCAACTGAGTTACATGTTGATTGAATGAAACTAGAGTTTTATAAAAGTGATATTTACCTATCTTAAATTAACAGTTTACTCTCCATCTGAGTTGGTCCTATTTAAATTTATGGGGTTAATATCTGACATCACTCATATATTTTGCATGAATAGTTAAGTTTCCCTAACGAATCTAACTGTTCAATGAGCATGGTTATATGTGTAATGTGCAATTTTGAATTTAATCATTCTTAATACATAACTAATGATCTATTTAATGTGAATATCTCCCAGATTAACCATGTCTTCATTCAACCCACTTACCTCAATTTTGAACCAAAACAAGTTAGAAGGACCTAATTATGTTGACTGGAAAAGGAACCTTGATATTGTCCTAACTGCTGAAGGTTACAAATTTGTAATCACTGAGGAATTCCCAGAAAAACCTGAAAATGCTACGGATGATCAGGTTAAGGCCTATGACAAATGGGTTAAGGCTGATGAGATGGCGTGATGTTACATTCTTGCCTCTATGGCAAATGTTTTGCAACATCAGCATCAGTCCATGGGGTCTGCTTACGATATGCTCGAAAGTCTCAAAGAGATGTTCAGTGAGCAAAATCGCGCAGCTAAGCAGACAACCATGAAAGCCCTTTTGAACACAAAGACGGCAGAAGGATCATCGGTCAGGGACCATGTTCTGAAGATGAAGAGCCTTCTGAATGAACTGGAGGTCAGATGGCTGAAGGATCATCGGTCAGGGACCATGTTCTGAAGATGATGAGTCTTCTGAATGAACTGGAGGTCCTTGGAGACCAAAGGCAAGTGCTATCATTGCAAGCAACCCGGGCATCACAAGAAGCAATGCCCTGCCTATCTGGCAAAGTTGAATAAGCAAGGTAATTCAAATTTAAATGTCGTTAAAACTTGTTTTGCGGCTGTTTCTACCATATTTTGGTGTGTAGATTCGGGAGCCACTAATCACAGCTGCAATTCTTTGCAGGGGTTTCAGGAAACGCGGCGGCTAAGTGAGAATGAAGTTTGCGTTTATCAAGCCAATGGCGAGCCAGCACCAGCTTTAGCTTTAGGAGATATTAGTGTTTCGTTTAGTAGTGATAGAATTTTAGTTTTAAAAGATGTTCTCTATGTACCTTCCATTAGAAGGAATTTGATTTCGGTTTCGAAAATAATGGATGCTGGTTATAATATTTATTTTGCTAATAACTCTGCTGTTATTAAGTTTCATAGACGTTTTATCTACAAAGCTGCTAGAGTACATGACCTTTTCGTTCTTGATATATCTCCCCCTGTGCTACAACAACCAAAAGAACTAAATAACATTAATCTACCACATAAAAGAAAACGTATTTCTGAATTGAGTCAGACTTATTTATGGCACTTACGTCTAGGCCATATAAATCTAAACAGGATTTCAAGATTGGTCTCTGATGGACCTTTGAGCTCACTGAAAGTGGAATCACTACCAACATGCGAATCCTGTTTAGAAGGTAAAATGACCAAGAGACATTTTCCCTCAAAAGGGAATAGAGCCAGTGATAAGCTAGAATTAATTCACTCTGATTTGTGTGGTCCTATGAATATACAAGCAAGAGGTGGTTTTGATGTGACGACCCAACCCGTCGTCTCATGTATTACAGCCCCGTTTCCCCCATTTATTGCTCTTTCATGTTTTATTATCAGCAACGGGTGAGTTAGAGTTGAATTGAATTGGTTTGGATAGGAAATGAGACACTTAGTCTCTTTAAGGAAGGTTTGGTTTGAAAAAGTCAACCGAACGTTGACTTATTAGTTAGAAGGCTCGGATGTGAATTCCGATGATTCGGTTAGCTTCGGGAAATGATTTGTGACTTAGGACTGCGATCGGAATTGATTTTGGAGGTCCGGTGTAGAATTAGGCTTGAATTGGCGAAGTTAGTATTTTGGCGAACTACGGTTGATAGGTGAGATTTTGATCCGAGGGTCGGAATGGAATTCCGAGAGTGGCTGTAGCTTCGTTAGGTGATTTTGGATATGTGTGTAAAATTTCAGGTCATTCGGACATCGTTTGGTTGGGTTTTTGATCGAATGCGTAATTCGGAAGTTTTTAAGAAACTTAGGCTTGAATCCGATGTGATTTGATGGTTTTAGCATTGTTTGAAATGTTTTGAGGATTGGAACAAGTTTGAATAAGGTATTAGGATGTGTTGGTGTTTTTGGTTGAGGTCTCGGGGGCCTCGGGGTGATTCTGGGTGATCAAACGGAAGGATTTTTGGACTTTGAGTGTTGCAGAAAATGCAACAGCAGTTGCAGGCTATTTTAAGCCTTCGCGTTCGCGTGGCAAGTGTCGCGGACGCGTAGAGTAAGGTTGAGGGGGCAGGAAGTTGTTCATCGCGCTCGTGTTAGGGCTACGCGTTCGCGTAGGTTAAGGGCAGTGGTGCATCGCGTTCGCATCACTGGGCACGCGTCCGCGTAGAAGAAAAATAGAGGGCCAGTTGGATGTTCAACGCGTTCGCGTTGACTGGCCGTGTTCGCGTGAGTGTGGAGGCCTAAGCCTTCGCGTTCGCGGGGGACCAGACGCGTTCGCGAAGGGTATTTTTGGTCAGCTGAAATTTTGGTCATCGCGAACGCGAGGGGGTCTCGCATTCGCATAGAGCAATCTGGGCAGTTACAGAAGGGTTTTATATAACATTTCATCCGCGACCCATTTGGTATTTCCTCCATTTTTGAACCACTTCAAGAGCTTTTGGGTAGAAATTGAAGAGAGTTTTGACGGGAATCGATTGGAGGTAAGTCTCGTGACCTAGAAATGCTATTTTATTGAAGAATCTACTTTTAATTCTTGGAAAATTGGGTGAAAAACTGAAGAACTAGGGCTTGAGTTTTTAAATGGGAAAATTGGAATTTGAGGGAGCATTTGGACTCCGATTTTGATGAATTTTATATGTACGGACTCGTGGCGAGACGAGAAATCCATTGATGTGAATTTCGTAATTTTTCGAGAAGCGGGCCCAGGGCTCGGGTTTTGCTAGTTTCGAGATTTCTGCTATTTCTTGGTTGTTTTCGATTGGGTATTGTTCCCTTGGCATATTGTAATGTATTCGCTCTGATTTTGGTTAGATTCGACGCGCGTGGAGGCCGGTTTGAGGGGCAAAGGCGTCGAGAGCTAGAGATTTCGCCGGTTCGAGGTGAGTAATACTTGTAAATGATATCCTGAGGGTTTGAAACCCCGGATTTGCACATCATAGTGCTGTATTGTGGTGACTTGCATGCCAGGTATGAGCGTGGGGTAGAGCACCATTGGGGATTGTGACTTGGTCCGTCCCGGTTTTGGATTTTACTGCGTAATTGACTGAAACCTACTTGATGCTATCGTGATTTGGGTTGATTGCCATGTTTTGGACTTCATGCCGATTATTTGAATCATTTAGGGATTATTATCACTGTTTTCATGACACTTAGCATATTAAATGATTTCAGTCCTGAGTTAAACCCTGTTTTGAAATGTGCTGTCATATTGTTAAAGTTTACAGACTTAAACTGCATTTTTCTGATGTTTTGAGTTAAAAGCTGTTACTTGACATTGCCCGAGTGGCTCATTTGCATGTTCTGGACTGAGGCTGGATCGGGCTGCACGCCGCAGCGATGCTATGATGATATTGCGCTTGGGCTGTAGGAGCCCCTCCAGAGTCTGAACCCCCACAGTGAGCGCGGGTACCCAAATGGATCGGGGTGCGTGCCGCAGCGGTCATATGCATTGCATTGGTTCCTGTTTGTAATACGTGTCATGACATTCAGCACTCTCATTTCATTGGCATTCATGCTACATCTTGCACTGTTTACCCGACGCCCTGGTGTTAATTGTTAGTGGAGTGCTGTGCCCGAGGGGCTGACTTATGTGCGGACTTGCACTATCTGATTACGCATTCATTTGCTTGACTGTTGGAAAAGGATATTTTCAGAAGAGGTTTTTAAACTGAGTCAGATATTTTCTAAAGGATTTTTCACGGTTTTACTGTTTTCTCAAAAGGTTGTACTGTCCTATATAGCATGATGGAGTGCTCTTATGTGATTTCTTGCCTCTCAGTTATTATTTACTCTTATTACCAGTGAGTTGGAAGTACTCACTTTACTCCCTGCACCTCGCGTGCAGTTGCAGGTATTATTCACCCGGTAGCGGGTTAATAGCTGATTGAAGGTAGGGCTATTGTAGCTGAGCAAGGTGACCGCCAGCGTTCGCGACACCGGATGTTGTCTTTTGATTTTCCAGAATTTTTTCTTTATATATTATTATTGGCCCTGCAGTTGTGTTCAGGTTTCTTTAGATGCTCGTGACTTGTGACACCACAGTCGGGTTGTGTTGGGTTGTAAATACTAGTTATTATCGTCGTTAAGCTGTATTTATCTATTTATTTATGTTTAATAAATGTTAAAGAGACGATTTGGGTTAGTTGGCTGGCCTTGTCTTCACGAGAGGCGCCATCACGACCGGGTTTGGAAATTGGGTCGTGACATTTGAGTATTTTGTGACTTTCACAGATGATTACTCAAAATATGGATATATTTATCTGTTGCGCCGTAAGTCTGAATGCTTTGAGAAATTCAAAGAATTTAAGACGAAAACAGAGAAACGACATGATAAATATATCAAAACATTGCGATCTGATCGTGGTGGTGAATATCTTTCTGCGGAATTCATAAAATACTTATCAGATAATGAAATTACATCTCAATTATCTGCCCCAGGAACACCACAACAAAATGGTGTGGCAGAAAGAAGAAATAGGACTCTTATGGGAATGGTTAGATTAATGTTAAGTTATTCCGATTTGCCTCTTTCCTTTTGGGGATATGCTTTGGAAACAGCAAACTACATTCTAAATTTGGTTCCTTCAAAGTCAGTACCTTCAACTCCAATAGAATTGTGGACTGGGCGAAAGCCAAGTTTACGGTACATTCGGGTTTGGGGTTGTCCAGCACATGTGCTGAAAGGGAAAGCGGATAAATTGGAATCAAGGACAGAAGTATGCATTTTCATTGGATATACAAAAGGAACAAAAGGCGGTTTGTTTTATTGTCCCAAAGAAAAGAAGGTAATTGTTACGACAAATGCCACATTTTTTAGAGGAGGACTATCTAACGAACCATACTCCTAGAAGTAAACTAGTTTTACAGGAATTAAATAATGGAATAACTAAAGACTCATCCCTTGAACGTATCCCGGAAGCCAGCATTGACATACCACTGCAGTATCGTAGTGGGAGAAATGTCAATAGGCAGCAGATTGCACAAGAACAACCTTAGATTGTTGAGCAACCTCAGGTTGTTGAACAACCTGAAATTGTTATGCAACCTGAAGAATCCGAGGGCCTCTCTCGCCGCGGTCCTGGCGTAACCGCGGTAGGACCGTGGCAGGATAATGCCTCTGATTCTGCAGGCCCCTCTGACCGCGGTCCTGGCGTAACCGCGGTAGGACCGCGACAGAACAATGCCTCTGATTATCAGAGCCATTTTGGGCGGGATCCTGCACTCCAGGAAGAAGTCAATGATATCTTAGCACCTTTTGGTGTGGAAAATAACATTGAGGCCTCAGTTCAAGGAAGTGGTGATGTGATTCAACAACAAAATCAGCCTCCACCTGTAGTGACTAGTCGTAGTGGGAGAATTATTAGAAAACCTCTCCGGTTTGCGCTCTTGGGAGAATCTTATGATAGAATCCCTGAAGAGCCTAATACAGAACCTATTAATTACGACGAAGCACTACATGATAAAGATGCTGATAAATGGGTTGATGCTATGAAATCTGAAATGGAGTCCATGTACTCAAATCAAGTCTGGGATCTTGTAGAACCACCTACTGAAGTCAAACCCATAGGTTGTAGATGGATCTATAAGAAAAAGAGAGGAATGGATGGAAAAGTGCAAACTTTTAAAGCTAGGCTTGTCGCAAAAGGGTTTACTCAAAAAGAAGGGATCGATTATGAGGAAACCTTTTCGCCAGTAGCCATACTTAAATCCATAAGGATTCTCT